ATAAAACCTGTCTTACGACCATTACTTTATTAGTCTGAATGCTTGCAGGACCCTTTTGGGTAGAGTTGTGAGTCAAATTTTGATGTCCAGGGAAATTGCGGGTTGTGGGAAAATTGAGCAATAAAGATTATTGAAAGTGGCACCCAAGGCAGATCAGATCCATCAGTGTCAGGGATTGGGATCCGCATGACAGAAAGGTGACATTTTTCTATTTCCCAGGAAATGGAAACCTAGTCCTCTGTCATTTTTCCAATTTTCACTTCATTCTAAGTTTTTCCTTAGAGACCCTGTTGTTGGTCACAATTGCTTTCAGTTGGTAATTTCAGCAGTCTGTTTTCCTCAAGTTAGCTAAACAAACTAAATGACAGTTACTCCTCCATGTGTGTTTGATTGTGTGTGTGTGTGTGTGTGTGTGTGTGTGTGTGTGTGTGTAAGAGAGAGACAGAGAGACAGAGACAGAGAGACAGAGAGAGAGACACACACACACACACACACACACAGAGGACAGAGACAGACAAAGAGACAGAGACAGACAGAGACAGAGAGAAGACTTGAGGACGAAAGACAAAAACCCTGTTGAGTGCAGGAGGAAGAAGACCCGGGAGAGAGAACATGAGAAATCAGAGATGCAGGAGAAGAATCAGTGCAGCAGAATAGAAGCCACATCATCTATCAATTTTTCAACCGATTCAGGAATAAGCCAGAAGTAGAACTACATGATCCATGCACCATGGCTTTAAAAATGGTTGGATCTTCTCATTTTTAAGCTTCTCATGCTCAAGGTAAATACAAAAATTATCACTTCAATTCTATGGAATTTAAATCCATATATTATGGGCTTGAAATTAGGGAAGTTAAGACTGTAAAGCAGAAGTCATATGGTCCAATCTTTTGCCATTGATATGTGCATGTGAGCTATGTCAGTCCTTTAAAACAAGTCTATTTACTCCTTGGAATTCAGAGCAGCCGTTTGGAGCTCTGGTGTTCACTGTTAATTTCCATACAGCTGTGGAAGAAAATAACCTGCCAGGGCACTTGGAAACAGCTGCCTACACATCATAACTGTAGTCATGCTGCCAAGGAGTCACTTGAACCTTCCAGAAATGATTGTGGTGTTTTAGGTAAAAAAAATCAAGCATGGTGTCCCCAGGATACTTTCTAGTTAGACAGAGGGTTGTTTGCAGAGCTCCTTCTCCTAAACAAGATGGTGCCAAGGGGTTTTGGATTTGTTCTACTGCAGCAGGCCACCCATTAGGGTTTATTGGTCAGGATCCCATTTATGTTGCATCACAAGTCTGTGTTTCCTTGTGGATGAGAGTCCTTGGAACTGGCCCAATGGAAATGGATTTAGACTTCTCTTTTCCCAGGAAAACAGAAGACTCTTGAAGTCATATTCTTACCATGTATAATGGCATGTGTTTTCCATGCAACATGAGAGGAGTTGAGTCAATTCAACAGACATCTATCAAGCACTTATTACTGTGATCTATGCTGAGGATACAAAGGCAAAACAACATAGTTCTCTCCCTCAAGAAAGAGGCATACAATATATATATACAAGTAAGGCAGCAGAAAATCTAAGGTGACTTCATGAGGTAGCATGAATAACAAAGCTGAATACCAAAGAAAGAAAAGTATTTGGGTAGACAAGGGATAAGGGATAGCTTCTATGTGTACATGGAACCAGGAGATGCTCTGTTGAGCCTGAGGGACAGCTGGTATTCAATTTGGCTAGAATTTAAAGCATACACCACGGAATAATATGAAATAAGGTTAAAAGATAGATTGAAGCCAGATTATGAAGAATGAGGAGTTTCTATTTTATTCTAAAGTCAGTAAGAATGCACTAAAGGTTTTTGAGCCAAGGAAAAACATGGTTAGACCTGTGACTTAGGAAGATTATTTTGGTCCATCTGTGGAGTTTTGATTGCGAGAGAAGAGTAGAACGGAAGGATAAACTAGGCACCTCTTAAAATATTCTAGAAGACTACAGGTGACAAGAATCTGAACCGGGACCGTTGCTGTGTGAGTGGAGATAGGAGGTTGAATATTAGAGATGCAGAGGGAGAATTTGAAAGCACTTGTCCACTGATTGGACAAGAGAAGTGAGGGAAAGCATTAAAGGTGGTTCTGATGTCATTAACCTGAGTGACTGGAGGGATAGTGGTGCCCTCAATAGAAACACGAAAGTCTGAAGGAAGGGCAAGTTCAATAATAACAATAATAGATAGCATTTATACAGTGACTTCAAGTTTGCAAAGCACTTTGCATACATTATATTATTTAATTGACAACCACCCAGTGAGGTAGGTAGCACAGACACTACCATCACTTTGCATTTAAGGCAACTGAGGCTCAGAGAGGTTAGATAGCTTGCCAATAGATGATGTTGGATGTGGAATCCAGACCTAAATCGCTCGATTCCATAATACGATACTTCTTCTAAATAGGTTTTTTTGGTAAATGAATTCAGTTTTGGATGCTAATCAGATATCTAAGTGGAGATGGATAGAAGGCAGTCGGTGATGTAGGAGCTGAGTCTCAGGAGAGATATTAGTGCTAGATACATAGATTTGAAAGTTACTTACATAAAGTTATAAAATTGAATCCATAGGTTTGAATGAGTTCAACAAAGACAAGAGCAGAGAGAGAGAGAGAAGAGGATAGAGCCTTGGGGGAGACCCATATTTAGGGAGTGGGGAGATCCAGCAAGGTAGACTGAGAAGAAGAAATCAGAAAGATAGGAAGAAAACCAAGGGAAGATAGTGTCAGACCATTGGGGCAGTCAACAAGCATCAAAAGCAACAGGAAAGGCAAGGATTGAAATGGTCATTGGATTGAGCAGATAAGAGGTTAGTGTAACTTTCATGGATATCTTCCAGATTTCCCTGAGTTTGAAAAGAGGGGAAGTGTGAGAAGAAGAGTTTGTTAATAGTAGCGTAGGGGGGATACCCATCAATTGGGGAATGGCCAAACAAGCTGTAGTATATGATTATAATGGAATATTATTGTGCTATAAGAAATGATGAGCAGGATGCTTTCCAAAAAAACTTGGAAAGACTTATGTGAACTGATGCAAAATGAAGTCAGCAGTACCAGGAGAACATCGTACATGGTAACAACAATGTTGCACAATGATCAACTGTGAATGACTTAGCAATTCTCAGCAATACAATGATCCAAGATAATTCCAAAGGATTTAGAATGAAAAACGCTATCCATCCCCAGAGAAAGAACTGATGGAGTTTGAATGTAGATCAAAGCACACTTCAAAAAATTTTATTTTCCTTGAGGTTTTTCAGTCTGTTCTTTCACAACATCTCTAATATGAAAATATGTTTTGCATGACTGCACATGTATAATCTATATCAAATTTCTTGCCTTCTCCAGGAGAGGGGAGCAGAGAAAGGGAGGGGATTTGAAACTCAAAATTTTCAAAAACGAATGTTAACATTTGTTTTTACGTGTTGTTGAGAAAAACTAAAATAAAAAAAAATAAATAGGGGTTCTACTGTAGAAGTATAATAGAAAAGCAGTCGGGAGATTAGGCTAGTGATTGGGGAGTGAGAGGACCGAGCAGGCATAAAGGGTTTGGCAGTTAAGGACCCTGAATTACAAGGTTTAGGGAAAGCATTAAGAGACAAGTCCTGAGCTGAAGGTTGAGTTCACCCACCCTCTGCTTATTAAAGCTGACCTCAGGATAATCCACTGACTAATGTCTAAGAGTCTGTGGTTAAGGCCCAAATGTGTCTGGCATTAGAGCAACCGGAGAAGATACAGTACACTCACAATGAGAGATTTCACATAAACCACTTTAGTTTTTAAATAACTTCTAAGTTAAAAAAAAATCCTAATGTTTAACCAAAAGTTCCTTTGACCTAAGTGGATAATCTTGACTTTGACCTAAGATAACTATTTAGAAACTGGTGTCCTATTACTATGCTATCTTCATCTTCTTAATAAGCTAAACTTATCAGATCTTTTCATATTTTATGAGTTTGAGTTTTCCGATTCTTATGGCTGCTACCTCTTGGACCTCTCCCAAGATATATGTGTCCTTCCTTCTCAAAGACTTTTTCCTAAATCAGACACAGTACAATGCAGTCAGACCACAATTTGCAAGTGGTTTTTGCTTCAAAAGTTTGTTTGGAAACTCAGAATAGATTTTTTTCTCACAAGAACAATATTTTAAATAGTGACTCATTACTTAGCTTACCCCATTAAAGCATATCTAACCCAGAATGTAGCTGAAATTACTTATTTTTCCCCTCTGATTTGACTCATCTATTGTCCCTACGCTTTAAAGTCCTTTTTTTAACTCCCTCATTCTTCTGTGACTTCTCCTTATTTTTAACTTCCTTCTACTTCTCCTTCACTTCCCACAACACTTCAGGTACAATATGGGCTTTTGTGGGCTAGCCTGGAAACCTAACCACCATAGGGTCTCAGTTTGCTTAATAATAATAGCTAGCATTTTTACGGCACTTTAAGCTGCCATAGAAATACCTTACAAATGTTATCTCATTTATCCTCACAAACAACTCTGAGAGGTTAGTACTTTTATTACCTCCATTTTACAGATATAGAAATTGAGGCAGACAGGCAATAAGTGACTTGCCCAAGGTCACACAGCTAATAAGTATCTGAGGCAGGACTTGAACCTGGAGTCTTCCTGACTCCAAGTCTAGTGCTCTATCCACTGGGTTACCTAGCTACTTATAAAATGAGGAGGGTCACTAGATGACCCATAAAGTCCCTGCCAGTTAGGAATCTATGTTACTAATAATTCGATACCCTGATTTCCTTAAAACTAGTGGATATGCAAGTTCTTGATTGCACCTGGTCCCAGTAGAATCACTGTGCTGGACAGGAGACAGTCTTTTATTCATGCCAGCTGTGTGAATGTCAATTGTCAGAGAAAGAGAAGCCAAATGCCTCAGGGATATTGCTGCTGTCCAAGGTGGATGTCAGCTTTTATTTTTAACATGAGAGTTCCTTACCAAATTCACTGTGGTCATCTATCAAAATGATTTCATGAAGGAGATGCCATGGAGTATGATCAATGACACTGTGCACTGTCCGAAGCAAGGCAGAAAGGACTTCATTGTAGAAACAAATAATAATGCTGGCAACTGGGAGATGGTAGGGATAAGACTTAGCTTGACATCTGTAGACATAAAGATAAGAAGAAAAATAGTCATTAAAAAACCCTGAATGGTTCAGGCTCCAATTTACCAAATTTTCAGATACCCATTTCTAACGTCCTCTGCTTGTCTTGATCTCATTCTATTTATGATGATAAGAGAAGCTGACATTTGTACAGTGGTTTACTGCTTACAAAGGGCTTTCCTCTGAACAATCCTGTGATGTGAATAGTACAAGTATGAATATTCCCATTTTAGAGATAAGAAAAAGTGAGGTGTAAAGAGGTTAAATGACTTGTCCATTGTCACAAGTTAACCTAGGTCTTTTGCTTCCCAAGCCAGTGCCCTTTTCACTAGGCCATCCCAGTTCATTAAATAATCATAGGGTATAGAGCGCTGGACCTGAAGTCAGAAAGCCTTGAATTCAAATCCTGTGTGCTTCAGATGCTGACTCTGAGTCAGTCGCTTAACCTGTCTGCCTCAGTTTCCTTAGCTATAAAATGGGGATAACAATAGCAGGATTGTTATGAAGATAAAATGGGATAACATCTCTAAAGCTCTTATAAATGTTAGCTAGCTATTTAATAAGCTTATAAATAAAGTTATTTATAATATTCATGTTACAATTATTTATAAGTACTATTAATAAGAATTTATTAAAGCTAGCTAGCTATTAATAAGATTAATAATAAGCTATTCACAGCTATTAAAAGAAAAAGAATATGAGATCACTTAGCTTTTTCTAATATTTTCCAAACAATGTTTTCTCTTGCTATGACTATGCTGATTGTTTGGCCTTGTTTTGGTAAACTTCAGAACTGGAAGGGGCTTTAAAAATCATCTTACCCAATCCTTCATTTTACAGAAGAGGAAAATGAAACCCAAAGAAGCAAACATATTTTGCCAAGATCCTACCTATTTTCATCCCAAACTTTTTGCTATGGTGAACTTAATGTCTCATTTTCATGAGGTGGAAGACAGTGGGAAAGGAGGTTATAGAAGGTCAGCCGGGTGTCCAGCAGCATGTCAGTGAAGAAGCAAGAGAAAAAAGCATCAAGAAGAAAAAAATTGAATGAAAATTTTCAGTTTTAACAGTTCATAAACTTCAGTGTGGGACAGTAGAAAGAGTTTTGTAGGCTTTGGAGTTAGCAAATTTGAGTTCAGATCCACTTTGGACGTTTATCACCCTTGTGACGTTGAGCCCATCATTTGACCTCCATGGTCCACAGATTCCTCATCTGTAAAATGAAGAAGGTTGGACTAAATGACTTCTGAACTCCTTTCTAGCTCTAGCCCTATGATTCTATAGTTTTAATATAGCATTCTTTGTCCTCCCCAAACTGACAGGTTTTTCTATTGACATGTGTCCCTTCTTTCAGTCTGTCCTTCCCATTAGATGCAAGGGAAAGGAATTTACTCTCTCTGGTTTCCTTTTCCTTCCTCATGCACTGTGAAAGGGGATTCTTTTTCTTTTGACAGACACAATTATTTTCTGAAATAATTTGAACATCCTTAAGATTTTTCCTCAATCTCATTGTATTTGATAATTTACTTTTTTTTTCCATGGAAAATATACTTTTTAAAAGAATTGTTTTGGTCCCCATTTAAAAATATGTTCTATAGTTCTAAAAGGCCTTTCTCCAAATTAGTCAAAATGATGACAATTGGGTTTTATACTTTGACTCATTTATAATTTGTGTGTCACATCAACTTACAAGCAAACTCTTGGAACATAATCCATTTATAAATTGGAGACTGCCCATTCTCATCTGCATCTAAGTTAGAAGATAGATTTTTGAGTAGGATATCTGGGAATTCTGAGGATATGGAAGAGTAAGAAGTTGCAAGGAAACCAGGTTCCTCACATAGCCCTCAAAAACAACAATATAAATTCAGAAAAAGAGAAATGAAAATGAGTAAAATGAAGGGCTCTGCTGAACACATAGCTATCTCTAGAGCAACACAGATATATGAGATCAACTAAAGCATATACCAAAGCAGTACTGACAGGCAAAGATGATGCAAAACAACCAAGAGATGACCTCAAATGTATAGATGATATATTTAATGAATTAGAGCAACAATTAACACTGGGAAAAGAAATCACAAGTTGAAATGAAAATAGAATTTGAAGCTATTTAAAAATCATGGTAGGAAGTGAAGTGAGGAATTGAATGATGCTTTTAAAAAAAAAGAGGTTGGGAGGAAATAATAAAAAAAGAACTAAGATTATGGAGAATATAATAGAAAATCTGACAATGTTAATAGACAGAATCAAGGACTGAATTAATACAGATGAAGATAAAGTCATAGACAACACAGTGGAAATGAGGAAAAACAGAAAATGATTTTTGGAGCAGGAAATGTAACATGTTAATGAACACTAGAAAACTTGTTCAAATTCTCTCTGAGGAATGTATTTAAAATCACTTTATGATGGCACTTTACACCTATCAAACTAGCCCCCCAAAAAAAGGTTTAAAATGATAAAATTCAGTTGGACTTCAGCTTCAGTGAAGCAATACCAACAGTCCATCCATCACACAACTGATCATCCCCTCTGACTAACCCAGAGATTTCACTGCTTGGACTTTATCTTAAGGATGTTGAGGAGGGGAAAAGACCTCTCTGAACAACAGTATTTATTCCTGTTTTATTTGTAAGGGCAAAATGTTGGAAAGAGGCTATTTACCTAACAACTTAGAAATACCTGAACAAGATGATATATTAATGTAATAGAATACCATTATACTGTACACAGTGATAAATTTGAAGAAGGCAAAGAAGTATGGAAAGATCTAGGTGATGCAAAGCAAGGGCTATAGAATAAGAGCAGCATACAGTATGTATTCACTGCAACTACTAAAAATACACACATAAAGACAACAAAACTTTATAGCTACAGAGATGGATTTGGAAGATGATATAGAACAATCCATTATTATTTTGTTAACACATATTACATTGCATATAGCATTTCATATTATGTTATATTACATTATATTATGTTATTTTTAATTGCTTTGTTACATTGTATGCTATATTATATCATATTGTGTTATGGTGTTATGTTATATTATATAATATTGTTATTTTTTCCAGCCAAAATATAAGCATCTTATTTTAAAATTTTATTTGGAGCTTTACAACATCAATTGAATTTTAAAAATTTGTGAAGTGTTACTAAGTTTCAATGGGAAAAATAGATCACTTTTTTTTAAAAGGACACATGCACATCTATACCTTGGAAGGGGCCTACCACTAGTCACTGCATACTACTAACTAGTGACCAGCATCCCAACTAAAATATTCTAGTATTTAGCCATACTACAATATTAACAGGAAAAATAAAGTTAGATCATGTTAAACTCTATATCTTCATCATTCTGTGTGGAAGGTAAACATTCAATCTGAGAAAAGGATTCTCCATTGCATTAGACTTGTAGATTATTTACTTCTTTCTTGTATAATATGGTCAAGAGATATTTTTCAATTAGGTATAATTATCAGTCTTCTCTTATTTGCCATCTAATTTGTGATTTTGAACAAAATAGGAAGTCTTGTGGATTCCTGGATTCAGGATTTATGGTTTCAAATTGGAGGTTCCATGGTTTCAAATCATTGCTGCCCTGGTGCCATCCTAGTCCTGAGCTTGGAAACAAACCTCCTTGATAAAAGGGAGATTAGCATCCCTCTTTAGCTGAAGACCACCAGAAACTACAAGGTGTTACAAACAGGTATAGAGGTATTAATCAATCAACAAGCCTTCATTAAGTGCCTACATGCCAGGAACTAGTGAGTGTAATCATAAAAATTGTAAGAGCATTGAAAAGGAAAGCTATAGAGAGAAATATGAGGGCCGCTGTTTTATGTCTGTGATAAATGAAATCATAGACTTGAAGTTAGAAGAGACCTTGGAAGTCATCTAATCAAAACCTTTTATTTTGCAGATAAGGAAACTGAGGTCCAGGATGGTTGTGACTTGCCTAAGGTAGACAAGTGATAAATGTCAGGGCCAGGATTCAAGTCCATGTCCTCTGACTTCAAATTCAGCACTCTTTTCTACTGGCCCACATTTAAAACAAAAAAAAGTTGCAGCTGAAAATACAATCTCAGACGATTTCACTTGAAGTACTATAGCACCGGAATTCTTTCTCAGAATTTCCTAACAAGTAATTGATGGTTAACTGCAGGATTTCAATGCCACTCTCATGACTTAATTAAAAGGGCCCCCCAAGCATAACGTTAAACTGCATTTACAGAAAATAGCAACATACTTCATGCTCCTTGTATCTGGCACGTGTCTATGATAGCTCAGCTGGTTACTGATAAATACGTTGAAGCCATGCTGCTGGAAGCCCAAGTCTCTGATCTGAACGTTTTCATTAAAAATCATATCTGCAGCGGAAAGACATGCGTCAACTATATTATAGAAGCAAAATCAAGCTAGATTTACAAAAATTATTTGCATTTCTATTCTTGTGACACACTAGTAGGAAATATAGTAAGAACAGTCAAATATCCCTCCAAATTATCATACTTGAATGGGAATTTGACTTGGGACACAAGATAGTCACTCAAAGAAAATTATATGATACTTCCAGGAAAAACAAAAGATGACATGAAAAAAATACAAAGATATATTTTCATCCTGAGAACTGAGAAATAAAGCTGAGAATATTATATGTTTAAAGATGACAACACTCTTGAAATTATAGATTTAATATAATGTAGAAATTTAATATAACAAATTTAAAATCATATAGTAAATAGATTTAATTCATTAAAATACATGGAATATTTTACAGAACTTGACATACTAATAATAGCTAGCTTTATGTAGTACTTTAAGGTTTGCAAAGCACTTACAAATATGACCTCATTTTATCCTAACAAAATCCCTGGGAGATAGGTGCTATAGTTCTCATTCTACAGATGAAGGAGACAGAGAGAGAGGTCAAGTGACTCGTCCAGGGTCACACAACTAGTAAGTATCTGAGTCTGTATTCGAACTCAGGACTTCTTATTCTAGTCCAGCATTCTATCCATTGTGCCATTTAGCTGCCCATAAGCTTTTGAAAGTGAAATGGTTCTATAGGAATAATTGTACAAATCATGTCCGGTGGACAGTGGCAAGAGGAGGAGGAGTGACCTATACATGATGGAATAAGACTGTTTCCCTCTTCCCCTCTCATGTTACCCCCAATAATCAGTTGGCAAGAATGTAATACAATGTTTAGGTAATGATGATGGCCTTAAGATTTGAATTAAAAGCAGGAAAAAAATTGGTCAATGGAAAAGAATATAAGTTCCAGAAACAGACTCAAACCTTCTGAGACCTTCAGATAGGACAAAATAGAATTAAAACAATGAGAATAAATATTGAGATAAATGGATAAGATTTGACTTGGACCCATACTTCATTCCATAAACTGCAATAAATTTCATTTGGTCAAAGAATCAAATTTTTAAAAAAAAACAGAATAAAATGAAATAGCATTGATCTCAGCTATGCAGGGGAGACTTCTGAAGACTGCAGGAATAGAAGCTATCAGATTATTCAGATATACAAATTAAAAGGCACAGTGGAGTTCCATAAAATAAATATCAAAAAGAAAACAACAGGGTGGGGAAAATGGGGAAAATGAACAACAAGTATTTATTAAGTGCTTACTGTGTTCCAGGCATGTGAGGGCTATGCTTTATGCTAGGCTATAAGGGCAAAAATACAAATGAATGAGACAAAACCTACTCACAAAAATGATGAAAAGCTTGCCATCTGGAATATACGGAAAACTGATACAAATATTTAAAGTCAACAATGAGATTCCACGTATCAAGTCACAGAGCTATAAAATGTCAGAACTGGAAGAGATATTAGAAATTATCTAGTATAGGGGTTCATTCTGTGTGTCATTACCAGACCCTTTGACTGTTTGGTAAAATCTATGTATGGTCCTCTTCTCAGAATGCTTCTAAACACACAAAATAAAATGCATAGGATTAAAAGAAAACCAATTTATACTGAAATGCAGTTATCAAATTAAAAGAAAAACAACTAAGATCTCTTGATCTAGTCCAATCTCTTCATATAAAGATAAGGAAACTGAGACCCTGTAAGGTGAAGGGACTTGGCAAAGATTGGATAGCTATAATTGGCATAGCTGGGAACAGTTTACACATGAAGAAATGCAAATAATAAATCTCCATGGAAATATGACATGAAAGAACATACAGCACTACTGGTAATTAAAGAAATGCAAATTAAAAGAGATTTAAGGTACTTATAAACAACTAAGTTAGCAAAAATGAAATGCTTAAAAACAGTATTGGCAAGGCTATAGGGAAATAGACACACATATGTTGCTGATGGCACTGCAAATTATTTTAATCTTTCTGGAGAAAGATCTTCCAATATTTATCAGGAGCTATAAAATTACTTGTTACTCTTTGACCCAGAAACCTACCTCTTCATTCATTTAATATTTATAATGTGAAAAGTACCATACCAGAGGGTAGGGAAGAAACAAATATAATTAAGACATGGCACTTGCCCTTAGGAGCTTCTACCCCAAGGAAATAACCCAAAAGAGAAAGAAAAAAATTGTGCAAGGTGATGATGGAAACACTGTTTATGATAGCAAAAACTTAGATATAACCCAATCACTCTATAATACAGCATTACAAAGCAAATTATGATGCAAATGACTCCCAGATCAATGTATATATATATATGTATCTCTCTTCCTCCATATTTCCAGCCACCCACTGGACATTTGAATTAGATGTCCCATAATGATCTCATATTTCGCAGGTCCAAAACAGAATTCATTATCTTTCTTCCAAAATCTATTGTTGTTGTTGAGTTGTTTCAGTCATATCTGACCCTTCATAACCCCATTTGGGGTTTTCTTGGCAGAGATACTAGAGTGGCTTGCCATTTCCTTCTCCCAAAATCTACCCCTCTTCTGAATTTCCCTCTTTCTGTAAAGACATCACCAGCCTTATAATTATTCGGGTTTTCAGACTTGGAGTCAGTCTCAGCTCCTCATTCTCCTTCATCTCATACAGTCAGTCAATTGCCAAGTCTAGCACCTCCCTCTTCATTTCTGTCTGATAGAATCCCAAGCTTTCTTCAAAGTTTAGCTCAAGCATCAGCAGCTACTAGAACAACAATGTCAAACTCATTGCAAGCAACCGGCAAAATTCCACAATGTGACCAGAACCAGATTAAAATGTAATTGGGAAATGTTAAAAAAAATAAATTAAGATGCATCAAAGATCATGTTAATTTGTGGTTTTCTAAGCCAATGTGTGGCTTGCAGGGATTCATTTCTATTTGAGTTTGATACCACTGTGCTAGAGCATCCCCCTCATACTACTTGGAATTTACTTTGTGTGTATGTACATATATACATATACATATATATATGTACACACACACTTGTATGTATACATGTAATTTTCTTCACAGAATGTAAGTTTGAGGACATGAACTATTTCATTTTTATCTTTGCATCTCCTGTGCCTGGCATGGTACCCAGTATAGAGAAAATGCTTTGTTGACTGATTAATTGATGATGACACATAGCTACTTAAATGTCATTTTTACCTCTTAGTATCTATTAAATAAGGAGGTTGTATTATATATCTCTAAAGTGGTTTCTAGCTGTAATTTTCTATAATCTATAATGTTAAATTAGTAGAAAGGGGATTGGGTTGGAAGTCCTGAGATAGCATCTCTGGGTTGGAAGGGGCCTCAGAGTTTTCATCAGCCTCAATTAAGATAGGGAATCACAGAATCACAAGATCACAGGACTTTAGAGGTGGAAGGGACCTTAGTGACCATCTAGTACTACCTGAATCTGAAAAAGATTATCTAATATAACACGCCCATCAAGTGATCACACAGCCTCCTTTGGAAGACCTTCAGTGAGGGAGAACCCAGTACCACCTTAGGCAACCTATTCCATTTTCAGATGGTATTTTAAAAAAGAAGTAACAAGGTAAAGTGGAAGGATAAATTGATAGGATGGAATCATAGGGCCTGAGTTAAAATCCTGCCTCTGTCACTTAGATGTAGTAAAGACTATTGGCCCTTACTACAAGATCACGGACAATTTATGTAACCTCCTTTCTTGTCTGTAAAAATAAAAGGGCAAGACTAGATGGCCTCTAAGATCCTTTCCAGGTCAAAATCCTTGATCCTGTGATGTAGGGACTCTGTGACCTGATGACCTGGTTTTGAATTAGGGCCCTGCCGCTTATACCTGTGTATCTTTGGGTAAGTCACACACTTCTGTGTGCTTCAACTTCCTCATATGTAAAATAAGAGGGACAGGTGACCTCCAAGAGCCATTTTAGCTCAAAATTCTATGATTTAAGTATTAGGAGATTTGTTCTTCCATGCAGCTGAAATTTGCTTCTCTGAAATTTCCATCGACTGTACTACCATGTGGGGCCAGCTGGCTTAAGTATAATCCTTCTTCCACATGATAGCTTTTCGGGAATGTTTTATTTTGTTTTAAATCTTAAAACTTTATAAGTCTTAATGCAGTTCTAAAATTTTTTTCATACCTTTAATTTTTTTATCTTTGATAATATTGTATTTTTTCCAATTATGTGTAAAGACAATTTTAAACATTCATTTTCCCTAAAATTTTGAGTTCCAAATTTTCTCCTTCCTTCCCTTCCCTCTCTCCTCCCTAAAACAGTAAGCAATCTGATATAGGTTAAGCATGTGCGATCATGCAAAACATTTCCATATTAGTCGTGATGTCAAAGAAGAAACAGAACAAAAAGAAAAAAACACACACATACACACAAAAAGTGAAAATAGTATGTTTTGATCTGCATTCAGATTCCATCAGTTCTTTCTCTGGGTGTGGATAGAATTTTCCATCATGAGTCTTTTGGAATTGTTCAAGAATGTTTTTGAAGACGGTTACCATGCACTGGGAGTGAGGAGTGGGTTTGGGAGGAGGTGGAGAAAGAGAGCATGGCCTTTTCTTTGGCAACTTCTTTCAACCAATCCTTGGCACGGACTTGAGGCCCTTTACCGTCCTAACTGCCCTTCTCTTGATATGCTCTAACTTAACTTTGTCCTTGAATTGAAAACAGTATTCCTGCTATGTCTCTAATCAGGGCAGATAAGTCAAAACTGTCAATCAACCAATTAATAAACATTAAGTGCCTATCTTCTGCCAGACACTGTGCTAAGCATAAAGGAAACTAATATAAAAAAGAAAGACTGTCCCTGCTCTCAAGGAACTTACAATCTAATGGGGGAGGACAATACACACAAGGAAACTGAAAAGTGAAGGGTGGGGAGGTGGGCCCTGGGGAAGGTACCCTACAGGGAAGGCATCCAGTGGGGAAGGTATCCAATTTGTGGGCAT